GGCCTGTTGACGTAGCAACTCATCAATGCCGCAACAGGGGGTACCCGGAGGGAGATAGAGAATACCAGAGGGGGAAACAACATAGGTTGGGAGGGGTGGGATAAATCGGCCAGATAAGGAGCTACTAATAAAAAAAAGAAAAGTTTGAACTTTGCGAAAAAAAATAGAGAATAAGAAAAAAATACTCTTTTGCAAGTTCAGTAGGCCTCCCAAGTCCCCTGAAGTGCGAAATTATCCATGAGAAAATTTTCGAACTTTCAGACTGCAAATGATTTTCTGATAAAAGAGTTTCGAAAATGAAGTACAAAAAAAATAAATTGGAATTACTCAGATGAGAGTATGCGCAGTTGAAGAATGATAACTGCAAAAGGGATTACCGTACCGTTTTAAAAAAAACGGTTTTCGGAATAAAAATATTCCGGATTTCCAAGTAACGGGAAATTGCAAAAGGAAATCGAAATTTTTGAAAAAAAGATATTCCGGATTTTCAACAACGAAATTTTGAATTTTCAGAAGAAAAACAAAATCGAAAATTTCAGATGTTGCGCTATTGCGATTTTCCACAACAAAAATAGCGAGAAAACAAAATCCAAGAATTTTTTTTTCTTTCGATTTTCGGAAGTGAGGTCAAAATCGTGATTTTGGGGACTAACTAGTGTGCTCTAATCAATCAATAAAAACTAATCAGCTACCTAGTCCCCGCACACGTGTCAGATCAGGTTGTCCTGATTCACGTGCGGTGTTCTGATACCAACTGTTACATGCCCAGTTGGGCGATGTACATATAAACCAAGGATCCGCAATGTGATGAAAAGGACTGAATGGACAATGCAGTGCAAGTGAAATCTCAACAAGCAGTGTACATCCTAATACATACAAAGTGGTGCTTTACAGCGCAGTGGAAGACTTAGATAGAAGTCCTGACCTGACCGGGACTGATCTCTTTCACGTAGTACAAGACAGCGCCTCAGAATACTTGAATACTAATCCCAATCAATGTTACAACGCAGACCAAACATACATCATTCTCACCACACGATGTGAAGGGAGTCTGGCGCTATACACAGGAAGAGGCGCCAGGTCTTGTTCATGCACAGACGAAGAGGAGGGGATCAGACGGAGAAGAGGAGGGGAGAGATGGGAAAGTTGTCAACACCAAGTCTCGTTACAAGTCCCAAATAATCCCTCGTCAAAATGTCTGAAGTCCAATGCTGAGTCTGGATCCAAATGTCACCAAACTCTCTCTCTCTCTCTCTCTCTCTCTTTCTCTCTCTCTCTCTCTCTCTCTCTCTCTCATAGTCTGCTGATGCAGTGAAGTCAGATAACGAGAGGGTGAGAGGGAGATGGTGGACTGAGAAGAGGAAGAAGAAGAATTCTCTCTCTCTCTCGTATGCCAGGTACTAACCTGTGAGGGTGGCGCTGTGCTTGAGGTACCTCAAAGACGAAGCTGGAGCGATGGCGCTGCAATTAAGTCCCTCTTGCCTCCGCCCAATCTCTCTCTCTATAGTACTACTCTAGCAGCTATGGTGCCCAACGCTGAAGACTACAACTAATGCTGCTAGCGCCCAACGCTGAAGACTACTGTTAACGCTACTGCTACTCCTGCAGCGCTCCTCTAGAGTACTGCTGCCGAATCCTGAAGACTACCTCCTGCCTCCTCAACTGCACCTGAAGTGCCTGGGAAGTACCTATGAACTACCTGGAGCCTACAGGGCGGGCCAATCTTATATAGTGCTGGCCCGTCCAGGAGGCTGCTCTTGCGAATGCCAAAATGTGCAAGACCCTGGGTTGAAGCTCAAACAAAGGTTGTCTTGAAAATAGGCCAAAAATGGCCTGAGCTAAAACCCTGCTCTGGTGCCTGAGTTTCAGGGCAGGTTGATCTTATGAGGGCCTGAAAATGACCCTCAGTTTCAGGCTGAAAAGACTCAGAGCCGGAAATGCCCTGATTTAGGCTGAAACGACACAGGGCCTATAGACCCTTGTTTTCAAGCTTTCAGGCCGAAACGACACAGGGCATGTAGGCCCTTGTTTTCAGGTTTTCGGTCTGAAAACGACACGGGCCTGCAATCTTGCTAGGAGAGGTGTCGACATCAACCACATTGTGGAACATAAAGTGATGCCGGTGCCAAAGCCTCCACGAGGGGAAAGACCACTGAAGCCACAAAATACGGAGTGGCTTTGGAGGATCGTTGGTTCAGAAGAGAGGAACCGATGAAGTCGGCACTCCAGATTGTTCCGCACCCACCAGGGTAGGGCCCTGAATGGAAAGCAACAGCAAGGGTAAAATACTTAAATGGTTCTCAGGGGGACTTTTAAACCAGAGTGGATAGGACTTTGTGGATTGAGGCTTTTTTTTTCCTTTTTTTTTTATTTATGTCGAGCCCTTTTCGTTTCGGCCTTTTTTAGGAACTGGAAAAGAGGTCCAGGCTGCACTAAGTGAAGGCGGGCGTGGAGCTACACCGTTTTTTGGTTTCCTTTTGTGAAATGGAAGATGGCCGTCGTGGTTTTCGGTGCTGGCGTTGCTCAGAGCCCAGGTGCTAGCAACGGGAGGTGGTTTTTCCTTCCCCGAAGATGCTGGGGTAGGGTTTGAGGGGGTTGTGGTAAGTTGGGGATTGTTGACGAAGAAGGGAGAGAGACTATTTGTTGGATTATTTCTCTGTTGGATGCTGCTCGTCATTACTATCATCATCATCAGGCATGAGGCCTGGAAGAGCTTCGGTTCGTGCTGAAATTAGCCATGCTGGTGGTGGTCGTAGGTGGATTGAATAGGTTTCACCTACCTGATTTGTGATGGGGAGGCTTTTTGACACACATATTCTATTGACTTGGTAGAGTCTGAATGAAAAAAAAAAGTCGGTTGTTCTTATGAATGTCTTAGGACTTTAGGGTTTCTTAGCAATCCATCTTAGGCGGTATCGATGCTGTTATACTAAGTGATCTGTGGCCGTTCGATGCCAGAACGACGCTGGCCGGTGCTGGGGTGTTGCCCTCTAACCTGCTGATGCAGGAGCGAGAGGCTTGGTAGAGAGATCTGGGGATGCTTTGGGGTGGGCATCCCAACGGATGACCAAGGGTTGTTGTTGGGATGACGCTGGTCGGAGTTGGGGCAAGTTGTGTTGCCCTGTAACCCATCAGGGTGGGGGCATGAGGCCTGAAATAGCTCAGCAGGGAGTAAGACGGTGTTGGGAAGTCTTAGAAGGGTTTGTCAGGGAACCTGAGGGTAGTGAGCATTTGTAGGACCTATGTGGCAGGTTATTGCATGAGTAATTTCCTAATAGGTCATTAGATATTCAGGATCCTCCCCATGTTTCTGAATCTCATCGTGTTCACAGATTGTTCTGAGCCGAAGCCGGGTAATGGCCCCATTATCTCAAATGACCTCAAACGACCTCAAATGTTCTCAATGATCTGTATAATTCGATATGGGATGCTGGGCCCACTTCCCAGCACGTGCTGCTCCCCACGAATAGACAGGAGCACTTGTTCAATGGTAAAAAAAAAAAAAAAAAAAAAAAAAAAGGATACTGCTCGTCATCATCATCAAGGCGTGGGTCCTCATTTCTGTTCAGCACTAGTATCATCATCATTATCATCATCAGGGGTCCTGCTCGTCACTTATCGTTGTATTACTATCATCACAGTTCACTGTCTTTAGCGCGTATAGGACGCTGCTCACCCCGGTGGTAGTGATGTCTGCTCATACCAGCGGCACTAACACCGGAGGAGGTTTGTGTAAAAAAAAAAAAAAAAAAAAAAAAAAAGGACGCTGCTCACCCCCATCATCAGTATTATTATCATCAGCAACATGTCATCAACATCATCATCATCTTGATTGTCTTCACAGGGCGCTGTGCATCATCATCAATCATCATCAATCATCATCATCATCATCATCATTATTATCATCATCGACATCGTCATCATCATCATCATCATCATCACCATCACCATCACCATCATCATCATCATCAGTTTGTAATCGTAGGGGCTGGGCTGTTGATGTTGCTCTTTAGTATGATCAGTGTCATCATTCTGTCTTCATTCTCATCACTACCATCATCACCATCATCTTCATCAGTTTGTCATCATTAGATGTTTGCCCTCCAAGGCATTGTTTGCCGTTCATATCAGCAGGTGAGTTGGTCCTCACCATTATTTTTATCATCATCATCTTTAGGGTGTTGTTCGTCGTCATCAGATTTCTCCATCATATTTTTCAGGAATTTCCGATTCTTGATCCTTCTCGAATAAGTCTATCATACAGTTTACTACTTCTTTCCATTTGGTTGGCCTCTCGAGGACCAACTCACGGTTTGTCAGTTTCTTGTTTCTAGTTGCGGTAGTTTTTGGGGTTTGCATACCGAAGTTTTTCAGGCTTTGACCCTGGGACCGTGCTATCGGGCCTTTCTCACACTAGGGACTTGGAGGGTACTTGGTTTCGAGCTGGTACCTTTCTGAAGTTGTTAGTAAGTGACCCTGTGTCGGAAGCTTCCGGTAGCTGTGGCAGGACCATGTAGCGCCTAGCGATGAGCCTATAAATAAGTAGTAGGATAGTGTTAACGCCCTCTCGGGTCTGACGTTCGGCAACGGGCATCGTCGTCCGGACGATGTTGCTCGAAGCTGACGGAAGTGGCTTGTGGTTCGACGGCGGTTCTTGGG